ATATCTCCTGTTAAGGATGTACTTGGGTGTCTCTTCAGAAATAAATATTTATCCATTCCATTGGTAAGGTTCTAGGCAACTCAGAAGCATAATTGTAAATGCAAGTTCAAAGGAGAGCATAAGAGTTGATCATGTAATGTATTTTTATATTCTACAATGATGAAAGCAAAAGAAGTGTTCACAGTTATTATGAGTAAAGATACTAAGATGGGAAATAAATGGGAGAATTTAGAAATATTAGAAACATCAGAGGACAAGTTTCAGCTAGGCTTTCTTAATCTAACTTCACTGACCTGTTGCATCATTTTTGCATGGCTGAAGGACAGATTCTAATTTATTTTATGATCAATGTGAGCAGTTACACTTCTTAATTTCAAATAACAGTGAATTATTTTGCCTCTGGAGTCATGATTTACAGAACAAAGACAGTGTTCATGTCTCCACGATTAAAGACACAGCTTAGATGTGAAGCCTATGGCTTACATTACTGTCCAGCAATAACACAAAATACCTCTTGGGAATTGTATGATTTGTGTGTAAATGGACAGGACCTTGTTATGAAGAGAATGAATTCCCCTTAAGTAATTCTTTTCAGCCTGGTACTTGGAAGAATCACTATGAAATAAATAAATTTAATTATGCTCACTGAAAAAAAAATGGACCAATGCATGAGTTATATCTTGGAGGGTTAATTCAGTGTTCTCTATTTGTATTTTTAATAGCATATATTTTATTTGGTAAATTTTATCTTTCATTGTTTCAATTATTTTAGATGTGGATTTGGTTTAATTTTCAGTCATGTAAATGTTATTCAATTGTAAACCATTTTATTTGCCTCTTTATAAAACAAAGCTTGAGAGATTTTCCTTCAGATGAAAAATACCATATTAACTATCAACAATGACACATTACCTAAAGTAATATTTGATGATCAAATAAAGTTTGTGTGAGAGAAAAAAAGTAGGGAATATTTATAACACATGCATCTCATAAAAACTGTTCTAGTTTTATTAATTAAATAAGTTTAAGATAAATATAGGCTTGGCAGAGCAAATAAAGTGCTTTTCATGAAGGCCTTGCACCTGAGTTAAAATTCAAGATGCCAAGATGGGAGGAGAGAACCGACTATTAACACACAAAAGCTGTCCATTGACTTCCAGGAGTGTACCATAGCATGCATGTAAATGATATCTCTGTCTCTGTCTCTGTCTCTGTCTCTGTCTCTGTCTCTCTCTCTCTGTGTGTATGTGTGTGTGTGTGTGTCTTTATCTCTCAGTCTCTGTTTCTCATACACACTAATAATAAATAAATATAAAATACTATAGTTTGAATCACTTTACTAGTAATCACACCCAATTTTTGCTGTGAGAATTATGTTTCATAACATTAATTTTAAAACAAGTGTGTAAATGCACCCACATTATCTTCACTTCTAAACAAACAAATATGGCGACAGGGAAAATAAAGATTGGAAAATCTGCGTGCCAAATGATTTTTTAATGGGGAATTAAAGGGAACATGGGAAAGCATTTCGTTTATTTCAATTTTTTTAATTCATTTTACATACCAAGCAGTTTCTCTTTCCTCCCCTTTTCCTGCTTGCCCCAAACCCATCCCCTACCCCCATCCACTCCTCAGAAAGGGTAAGGCCTCCCATGGGGAGTCAACAAAGCCAGGCACATTAAGTTGAGGCAAGACCAAGCCCCTCCTCCGGTTCATGCACCTGGTCCCACTGCCAGGGGACTCTCAAATAGACCAAGCTTCACAAACTGTTGCCCACATGCACAGGGCCCAGTTCAGCTCATCTGTGGGTTTCCCCATGATGATCTTGACCACCCCTTGCTCCTATAACCCTTTCTCCTTCTCTTCATCTGGACTCCCTGAGCATAAACTGGTGTTTGTTTTCTATGGATCTCCACATCTGCTCCCATCAGTTACTGGATGAAGGTTCAATGATAACAGTTAAGGAAGCCATCAATCTGAATACAGGGGAAGGCTAGGTCAGGTACCCTCTGCACTATTAGTAAGAGTTATCTGGGGTCATCCTTGTGGATTCCTGAGTATTTCCCTAGCACTGGATTTCTCCCTAACCCCATAATGACTCCCTCTATCATGATATCTCTTTCATTGTTCTTACACTATGTCTCTCCCCCAACTCAACTATCCTGTTAGCTCATGTGCTCATCCCCCATCCCCTTCCCTCTACCATTTCCCCACCCCAGTTTACCCAGGAGGTCTCATCTCTTTCCCCTTCCCAAGGTGATCCTTGCATGCCTCTTAGGGTCCACCTTGTTACCTAGCTTCTCCAGGGCTCTGGATTGTCGCTGGGTTATCATTTGGAACTGATTTACACTAGGAACTAGAAAAAATATCCTGAGGTAACACAGACCCAGAAAGACAAACACGGTAAGTTAATTTTTAGTAAACAAAAAATAACTACCCTAGATCCTTGTATTGGTTGGAAAGAAATGCAGGGACATCCAGAGAGGAAAAAGAAATTCCTTCTCTACCTGTATCCTATAAGAAAAAGTAAAGGAATTTCACAAAATTGAAGGTAAACAACTTGCAAAATTTGCTCAAATAGAATTCTGAACGAAAGGAGGGAGCAGGGCAAGCTAAGTACTGACACAAGGAATGTAAACAGCTGTTCAGCACTGAGATTCAAATGACCAAGGAGTCAGTTAAGGCTGTAAACTTCATTTTATTTTACTTTTTCGAGACAGGGTCTCTCTGTGTAACAGTCCTACTAACTTTCCTGGAACTGGCTTTGTAAACCAGACTGGCGTCAAACTCACAGGGATTTGCCTGCATATGTGAGCTCCTGCTACACTGATCTTCTGGAAGACATGAATCACTTGCATATTATATGTACATTTTGTAAGAACAACTAGAAACTTGGCAGTATCACATTATTTTTGTTCTTTTACACATTTTTCCATTGATGTGATTAACCTTTCCATTCAACTTTCTCCCTTGGTCACTGCTAGAGTATATTCATGATGCTCTTATTGCATCTTAAAAAAAACAAGCAGTTAAATAATGTATTAATTAAGGCCGAAATGTAACAAATTTGCAAGGTTCCAGGTGTTGTAGAGTGCTTGAAGTAGTATTTAAGTATCTCTGATGATAAATGCACTTTATTTAAAATGTTATATGAAAGATACGAAAACTTACTTGCAGAGAGCAGATATAAAAAGAAAAAGAAAGAACACATTTACATGAGCAGTTTTTAAAAAATCCCTAAATTAGTCTTACAAACGTGTTGTATCATATGCAAACATATTTGCAGGTAAGATAACTATTAATTTGTCACTGTAATACATATCAACATTAGGATCTTTTTTTCCTCATTGTCATGTGGACACTGAGTACAGTGAACATCTTGCCTTGATGATAGGGTCCCCCTCTGTTGATCTTATTACCATCACCATTACAGAGAACTTTCAGGGTCCTGTCACCCTAAATTGTGTTTCTGTTTCCTTTGGCTGTCTGCCTGGCAATGCCGCAGCACCTCGTTCTAATATGATAAAGAAGCTTCAATGAATCATACATCCAGTTATTTTACTGTGCTTTCCCCCATGAATGTTCGAGTAACCTTTGTGTTTACAAAACTTAGAATCAAATTTCAGTTTTTATGAGAAGTTTCCAGGGGTTTGTATTTAATTATATTGAATCCACACATCGATCTGCAAAAATAAAACAGTCCTACTTATGTTATTTGTCTCCTTAGCCACAGACATAATAGAGATCTTAATTATGTTAGCTTTTCTGTAATAAAATTCAATAAAACCTTCCTGATATAGATCTCCTGTGTACTTTATCAGACTTATTCTAAAGTTCCTTTATCTTTGGTTAATTAGGCTTGTTAGTTTACATGATTGCGAACATTTTGTGTTGAATATTTATTTGCTTTATCATTAGGATGCATGGGCGTTGTGCCTTATTTCTTGTCTTCCATTTTTGTGTTCAGTGGTTCCCTGTGTTCTTTACTTAATTTGCTATATTGATAATTTCTATTTATTTAAGAAGTTCACCTTTGTTCTGGCTACTGTTTTATCAACTTGAAACAAGCTACAGTTATCTTGGAAGAGACAACTCAATCAGGAAAAATGCCTTCATCAGATTGGTGTGGAAGCAAATCAGTATCTGCCAACTGTGACAGTGCCATCTCTGGGCTGGTGTTCCTGTGCTGTGTAAGAAAGCAGGCTGGCCAGGCATAGGGAATAAGCTAAGCAACAGCACCCTGCATGGCCTCTGCTTAGGTCTCTGCTTTGATATCTTCTTCTGACTTCCTTTGATGTTGGGCTGTGATGTGGAAGTGTAAGCCAAATAAATGCCCTCTTCCACCAGATGTTTTAGGTCATAGTGTTTATCAAAACAATAGAAACCTAATTAAGGCACTCTCCCTTATCCATCTTCTTATTTCCCTTCCTTCCAATGTTGCTGCTTACACATCTCTCTTTTATGTACATGTATGTGCATATATGTGTGTGTATAAATAAGTCCCCTATAAGAAGAATGTGAACACATGTGTTATAAAACCTCACCTACTTTTTTCTCTAAGTTACTCACAATTTATATCTTGAATGCTCTACAATTGTTTTGTTGTCATTTTTGTTTTATCTTGCTTTATAGTAGGTCCTACGTCCTTTTTGGGCTATTTCTAATACCAATTGTTTATCTCTTAGGCTCTGACAGCTAACCATGACTTCTGACAACTCTCTCCCGCTCCAGTTCCTGAATAATATGTAATTTCCTTGATAAGAAAAAAAAACATCATTTTGGTATTCATGTCAAGTCATGATGTTCATTTTTCATTCTTTTCTGTAAGCTAATGAGTTCTAACAGGGACAGGATTCATACAGTTGTCTATTGCCAAAAGTCCCACTGCAGCATACTGAGGGAGCTGGAGGCAAGCTCCAGCATTAAGGAGATTTGCTGTAAGCCAAGTCTCTAAAGTGTGTGTTGAAATACTAAATACATCCCTGTGTATTTTGCAGACAATCCTGGTTTGCTGAGCCATGTCTCCGTGGGCATTAGAGTTCTGGATGTCAATGACAATCCTCCCGAACTTGCCAGGGAGTATGATATTGTTGTCTGTGAAAATTCTAAGCCTGGTCAGGTAAGTTAATTCTTTTCTTCCTACTATCCGAATGGAAGAAAAATAAGCAGTTTTATCTGTATTATTCTTAGGTATTATCCTTCAAATCCCTCTGTGTCATTTTTATGCTCAGTGATGACAATTTTGTAAGGTTTTTAAGTACAAATAGACATTTTGAGCATCTCATGAAATGAATTATCCACGTATCACAGTGTAATCCAGAACAATGAGCTCATTTAGATATGATGCATAAATCATGCCAATTAATTTGCAACTGATGGTCTAGGAACAGCCTTGTGTTCAGTGAGCAGCAGTGTCCACTCATGGCCTGATGAAGTCTAGAGACTGTCTGGGAGGAGGGTCTTGATCACATGAATTTTGGGAGTAAAGACATAATGGTAAAGTGTTGGTTATGAAAGGTGTGTGCGTACACATGTGAGTTTGTGTACACTGTGAAGAGCTCCAATGCATTATGTGATTGGAGAAGAAAAGAAAACAGTCAGGGAAGGAGGCTGTATGCCTTACCCATTAGAAGGAACACAAGTGATGGAAAGCTCGAGAGGCTGAGGCGAGAAAAAACATCAAGAGGGGAATATTTATTAATCTTATGTGCTGTGTGACAACGTTTATGAAACCACAGTCAAAATAAGAGTGCATGTATTATCTCCCTTGCTGTGACTAATCCTCAGTAGCGGATGGCTAACATGTGTCTTCCAAGCCTTGGTTAGGAATTCTAGAGATTCTCTCAAAATTTTTTGGCAGTCTCACTTTCCCGTTAGCATTCCACCAGAGAATCCCAGGTGTTTTCTTAGCGACTAAGGCCCCCAGCAATAGTATGATACGACACCTACTTTCTTGCCATATGGACCTTCTCAATTCCTGGCTTTATCTGCTGCATCAAGTGAGCAACTCTTATGCACAGCAAAACAGTTGTCTTACACTATATAATCAGCTGAGTGGTACGTTAGTAATTTTTGGCAGATTTGGTTGGAAATGACATGCACAAGTTTTCTTCACATTAAGGAGAAGGGATTAGAGAAGGATATGCATTCTTGGAGCTCACCTTAAAAATTGTCAGCTGCAGGTAAATCCAGTAAGAGTGAACGTGTCAAGTTCTGGCATAAAACAAACTTGGTGCTATGTGGGTTCAACCGAATGAGTGCGTCATTCAAAATTACTTAAAGAATTTGAAGATGATGATGAAATGATATTTATTTTTCTATGTATACATAAGGGATGCTAAGTAGAAGCTTCCGAGCATACACACTAGTTGTTCATTTTTAATATTGACAAGGCAATATGTACATATATGTTTAATCTGAACCAGGTGACTTCTAGAGTCACAAGAGCATATTGTTTGCTGGAGGTTAAAGGACAGGTAATGAGGATGGTGATGTGACCCCTCCCCAAATATGGAAGCATGATTATACTATTTAGTATATATATTATTATATACTATTAGTATATATTAAACTATATAGTGTTTTGGGTCAAGTGCTCATCAATTTTGAAACGTGTCTAGTAAAATATATTTATTTATAAGTTCATTATGAAATGAGTAATAAAGAAAGTGACACTCCATGTAAATTTTAAATTAAAATACCTAGTTTGTCTAGATCAACTGTACTTTACAAGTCCTTCCAAAATTCTACACTGAGTTAATAATTGAATTTGTAAGTAGATCACAAAGTTATAAAATAATTCAGGGAAAGTGGTATTGAAAACTAAAGAATCATAATGAATCAACATCATGGGTATAAGAGTTTTGAAAATGAAATGTATTCTTGTATGTTGTCCATGTGTGCACAATAAATGTATGAGTGTGTGAGATAGTTCATGGCTGTATGTGAGTTTGTATGTATGCGTGCGACTGTGTGGGTGTGCATGTGCATGCCTGTGTGTGTGTACTAGCACTGTGACATGAGTTGTGATGTTTGCTCATATTTAACCCTGAAAACAAATTAAAAAATAAACATGATTTTCACTTAGATTATATTAAGAACTGATATGTAGAGAATTCAAATATACTGCTTATTTGACACAACATTTTGAACTCTATTTGAAGCTTTCTGTGCAGTTGAGAAAAGTGATTAGAATGCTTTTGATTCTTCATCAGTGCATTCATATGTTTGGAATCAAATGTCAAAAGGGAAAAACATCTATGTGGATAAGTAGTTGTACTTAAAATGGAGGAGGAAAGCAACTCGAAGAACTTTCATCTCCAAAGTAAATACTCTAGAGTGAAAGAAATTACAAAAGAATAACAGAGATTTCTGTCTCTACAAATCAGAATGGGGGCGGAGGAATACTTTCCCTCTGTGATAGCAGAGGTTGATGACTGAATGCAGGGGTACGCAGTGAGACCTAAGAAAGCATGGGAGACATCTACCACTTCAATACTATAAACACTGACTGCATCTCATGACAAAAGGCATGCTATTGTTATTGTGTGGGTACTATTTTTTCCTGTTTTTTCTTAGTTATCTCATTTACCAACCAACATTTTCAGTTCAAAGAGAGGGATTTAGATTTTTCATTGTATTATTCTTTAAATGTGTTATTTCCCTTATAATAACACATTAAAATTGGATATGCCTAGAAACTATATTATTTTTACATTTTTCATAATCTACCTCATCAATAAAAGCTATGTTAATGTTTTATTTTCCTTGCTTAAAAAATAGAAGTAGAGAATCTGAATGTTTAGGAAGATAATTTGTAAAATAGGAAACATCATATATTTTCATTTGTTTGTTTGTGTCCCTATTTTTAAGGCAGTATTTGTCAAAGAAATTAGGATTTGTATTCTCTCTTTTGCCTCTCGATTTTTTTCTTGTATTTTACCTCACTCGCTCCTAAATATGCTTTAAAACAAACTGAGACTTCTGTGTTTGAGCCACCGCAAAGGACAGATTTCATCAGCAAGTCACTGAGAGTTCTGTGGTCACTTTCACCACTGTTTTGGAGAATGGACATATCACAGTTTATAGGACTCAATTGTCTCTTGTATGAAATTTAGGGTCTGCACTGTTACCCCTTGCTTCTTCTGAATCATTAAGAAGAAGGCTCTGCTGTTCTTACATTTATAGACAGAGACACACCAATATGGCAATACTGTTCTACCTGACACTGGAAAGTTATAGTTATGGCAAAATGCTTCCTGTCTAAAAAAAGAATGTTTTCCTAAAATTTTATGACCACTTAGTCCCAAAGTATTGTGAATCACAAGAAAATAATCTCCATGGCACTATGTTCACCAAGAAACTGAATTCAGAATGTTTGTACCCTTATTTAAATAAAGTATGCATATTTATAAATTGAACTAAAATTTTTTCTGAAAATTTTGGAAGGCAAGCAAATTAATTGGTTCTTTGGTGTGTTTAATTGTAAACATTTGAGTTGGAAGATAGGACTTTAACATTTGTCAATTACAACTTAACTGACAGTACAGTTAAAATCAAAGGAACTAGCAAGTTAAACTTACTGTTAGTGTTTGTCTTTCCTTTAGGTCATTCACACCATCACTGCCACTGATAAAGATGACTTTGCCAATGGACCAAGGTTTAATTTTTTTCTTGATGAACGCCTGCCCATGAACCCAAACTTCACTCTTAAGGATAATGAAGGTGAACATAGATATGATTTGTTGATCGATGTGTTTTTGTTTTGACTGCCAGAGTACAAGCATTATTAGTTTTGTCTCATTCTTCTATACCCAGGAACAGCTTGCAAATTGACATTCAAACTCCATCTGATATTAGTGTGCTATGATCTGTGACTAGCTTGTATTTAAAATTGAACCATATGTACAAATAACATTCATTGAATTTGCTCAAAAGTATTCCTTTAAACAAGAAATGTACATGCAGTATGCTCTTGGGCAAATGTTAAGAGAAATCTTAGCTGATAAACGTATTTATGATCATTGCTGTAACTGCTGCTAGAAGGGAAAATATGCTTAAATTAGGAAAAGTGAAAAATATGTCCGAAAGAGAGTCATGAAATCAGATGCAATGTTGGAAATCATTCTGCATTAGGAAAATCATCATTAAGTGCTGCACAAATTATATTATCTCTTGTTATTGGAAGTGTTTTCTAAAGGATGGACAGAAAATATGCAGAATTATAGGATATTATGGCTTTTAAATTAATTTGAAATAGCTTAAAATATTTACAATGTATATTTTTAAAATTATCTTTGTTTATTCTTTGTCTTATTTAGAGAATAGGAACCCACCCAAGTTAATCATTATGGGAAATGTATCATTATTAGGATGCTCTATTTATTCATCAAGTTTGTATAGAAAGCCCCTTTTAATTTTGGTGGGGGACTACCGAAGTAGCTGCTATCTGTAATTTTCTATTTAGCACAAACATTCCCTCCAAATGTTTATGATATTCATTTGAATATGTTGTGACCCGCATTTACCACTTGGCACAGAATGCTGACAGGGGACAACAGTATATTAGTCTCACTACGAGCATGTGTCCTTTCTCTGCATGCTGGGAGCATGCATAAAACACATAGTTAACTCTGAGCAGAACTGAGATGTAGGATCAGTATCACCGTGAAAGGTGTACATGTTCTGCTTACTTATTTAAAACACATATTTATATAAAAAGGTATAAGGATGTTATCAAAGTGATATTTTCTTTTAATTTCCACAAAATATAGTTCAACCACATAAGTCTAATGAGTTTTCTAATGTAGATATAAAATCATCTAACATATTCGATGACTATAAATTGGAATCTATCCATGTAAGGTTCTAGAATGTGTGGCTATGTTTTCAGAAGTACATCCAAAATCTATTCACTGCTCTTTCCAATACCGCTGCCACCATCACCATTGGAGTGGCAGCAAGAATAAGCACAGTGTGTGTTTCGTGTACTTAGATATGTCACTTCTTGTCCTGTAGTAAAGAATTATAATCAGCTCTTCAGTACATTTAAATCAACTTAAAGATGATGAAAGCTTAGCATTAGAAAAAGGGATTGGGGTCAAGCGTCAGTGGCTCACGCCTATAATTCCAGCACTCAGGAGGCAGAGGCAGGCATATCTCTGTGAGTTTGACATCAGCCTGGTCTGCAGAGAGAGTTTCAAGATGACCTCCAAACCAATGCATAGTAACCCTGTTTCAAAATTCCAAAAAACAAGGAAGGGATTCAATGATTTATACAGGAAGTTGAGTGAGTCTTAAATGCTTAAGGGTGGCAATGATCAGAATGAGAACAATGAAGTGGTTAATATCCTCATTATGTCAAAATCTATGGAACGTAAAAACCATATTAAGAATGGGCAGTAAAGATATATATTTCCATAACCCGTGTTTCACAGCTTATGGTAAGTAGGCTTCCATTTCTTGTCTTAAAAGAAAGAAAAGAAACTAATAGTTTAAAACAACTAATGTATTAAGATTTATGAATAAGTGCTCTCATTTTTCCAGAAAATATGTATTATGAGACAGCAGATAATTATGTTTATTTATAATCATTATGTAATAACATTAAGATTCATAGATACATTTTTTTAAATCAGTGACACCAGGACTTTCTTGTTAAAACACTTCCTCTTGTTCAATACATTTGTCTGAGAAGGCAATTTTCCACGGATGCTTTCTACTGTATCTGTATGTCCCTCACAAGCCAAGTCTGTTACACATCATCCCTCCCCTTCCTATAATAACAGGGAAAACTATCAGAATGTATACTGTTCAGTGGAGCATATGTAAAATATTGCTTTGTCTTCATTCAGGAGTGCTGTGCTATCTTTGAGTATTTATGCATGATGGAATGTCAACAGGCATTCGTCATTGAATGAACTCCTATAAGAATCTATATGACACTTTAATTCCTATGAGAATTGTATAAAGCACTTGTAAAGTGCCTCTTTATTAAGAAGAATTGATGTGCGTATGTGAAATACATGTTAGACAGACATTATAGTAGTCCCTTAGCTTAGATTAATTAATAAGAGGCAACTAAGATCCTTGAACCAGATAAGTGTATGTTCCTTCATCCATAATCTGTAAGATTCCCCTGCTTGTTATGAACTCCAATCTGAATAACATGACTTAATACAATACTCAGATTTTTGTCCTTCCTTGCGTGTTTTCTCACTCATTGTGTTTCCTCACTAATTTAGAATCTACTAATTTGTCAGGAAATTGAAGAACTAAAGTCATCAAGAATGTTTGATTTAATTATTGAGAGTTATTTGGGCTTACTTAGCTTTCATTACTCATTTTGACATATGCCGGGAATATACTGAAAGAAAACACCAGCGTGGGGTTAATGATCTGCTTTGGAAGCAGGAGGTCTGTGAAAGAAAATGTGCTGCAAACACTCGCTGCTTGTGCTTGGGGCCTTTTTTGTTTTGCTTTTTGTTTATTTGTTTGTTTTTTGATAGAAATGAAAGACACTGGTACATCTTTTAATTTTTGTATATTTTCTAAAACATATCTGTCTTAGGAGGTATGTTGGATATCAGCCTAATCTAAACACAGGAACATATTCCAATTTTGTTCTTTGTTAATATGCTTTCTGCTTGTTTTTTAACAAGACACATTTCCTCATGTGTCTAGTGACACATTTGTGAACACATAGCCTGAAAACTACATGGTTCTGTCTCTTGCAAGTTTCTTTAACCATGCACTTGAGGATGGAAACTTACAAAACAGTATTTTTTTCACAATACTCAATGTCACAGACCAAAGATCCTTTGGAAGGTAAAGGGAGCATTTTGTGATTCTGAGATGGAGTGCTGACATAGTCTAAAATGGAGGGATGCGCTCTCCTACCTGATAGAGGAACAAAGGAAAGAACCCATTGAAAAGAGCTTTGGTAGTGTGGCATAAATCCATTCAAGACTAACAGATCATTAAACTGCTGAGTAGACCCAACTCTCACCAATAATGTATTGTTGATTAAGTTTCCAGTCCTCACTGTGGAAGGGATTGAACATTTCAAACTCCAGTATGAGAAGATGCTTCCATGTCAATATACTCTGGTAGACAAGATTTACTACTTCCTCCAAAACACAACCAAATGCATTCACATGAATCCAATCAGCAGGCAAGCTGAGTAGATCCTATTAGTCTCAGGTCTTCTCTGTTCCTAGAAACAGTAAATCTGGAGCATCTTACAGAGAACTTGTGCTAGACTGTGATCCTAGATTCATGGCATACTCAACACCAACACAGGCCTAATGAGCTCTTCTTGGCCTTTCTTGGTTTCTCAGCGTTTTAGCGTAGGGCTTGAACTCTCTGCAAGTCTTCGAAAAGTAATTTCCAACTAGAACTTAAAAGTTACCAAAAGTCCTCAGGGAACATCAGTCACACCCATTTGAGGTTTTTTTTCATTTCCATGTTGAGTACAAACCTTAAAAATCTTCAAGAGCTCTCCAAGTTGCTCTGTCTCCAGTGGACACTAGTGGGTTTTCCAACAATAGATGGTCAGCCCTAAAAACATGTGTACTTGTAATGTTATACAGATTGAACAAGTTGTACTTTTATATATTTAGAAATTTACATTTCTAAACATATATATATATATATCTTTGAAAAAGATTAAGGAGGAGAATAAAAAAGGAAGGGCTTGGATGGAAGAAATGGAAGGGAGAAATGATATAATCATATTATAATTAAAAAATACAGAAGAACTTTTTAAAAATGATATGAACATACCCTCAGAATCTCCCCAATTTTACAGATAAGGAAATAGTTTACAAGTTTACAGATAACGAATTCAATTTTTTAAAAACTGAATGGAGTTAAAATAGTCTTTTGCAAATTAGAAGCAAACAATTACTAGTAGAGGTAGGACTTAAATTTAAAAAATAAATTTCCTACCTAAACTACAGTTTCTTACTAATGGTGAGAAGCCATAAGCTCCCACTGCATGTTTAGAAAATTTAACAACTATTTATGACCTGTCCTAAAATGCCATTATGAAAACATACGAAATAAAGATCAATTTAAAATAAGATAAAGGTTTCATATTTAAAGACAAACTATGAAATACTCAATATGTAATTATTCTGCTCCCAGAAACAATGGGTTGGATATAGAATATACCTGTAATTCAAGAATAAAAGAGTAAAAATAGAAAACATGTTAAATATTAAATACGCTTTGAAAAGTTTTATTATGATCATTATTAGGCAAAAAGAAAAACATACTCACTGTTCATTAAAAACAGTGCAGTATGTCCACTCATGTCCCTTTCCCTCCAACTGATGTTTCACAGTGATCTCCAGCAGGTGCTGCTCCAGTTCGGGGAGAAACACTACGCAGGGCCTCTCTTTCCTTGTCTTCTTGGTAAACGGTTTTTGCCCTAAGAGAACTTTTGTTAACCTGCTGCTTAATCTTCAAAGTGATATATCATCTGCAGTGTGTCAGACAGTGGTGTAAGCTGTCTGGAATCCAAGGATTAAAATCACCTGCCACGCCTGCTCCCAGGGCTCTTGTTGTGTGGTTCAAGAAATAAAATTGGCATGAGATATGATTTGCAATGCAAGCTAGTAAGACAACTGTAGAGAAACCATTCATGTATTAGGAACATGGTTTGACCAGACAGTGCGATACAGAGAACACTTTTGAACGAGGTTTATACAGGTGACAGATGA